TCCTCCGTAATCGATACTTGTACTCGATGTCTCCGACCACTAGTTGCGCAGTTCTAACGTACAGTCCGTGAAATAACATCTGCATCCTATCAATCAAAGTTGACAGGCTGTCTGAATCCCCTCGTACCGTTTCCCAAAATAGCACGCGTTGGCTTTGAGATTGTTATCAGTCCGATCCAATAAGCCACCTGCTATGTTGCATCAGACTGTAATACTGCGTCTCGGCTTATCGTTCGTTATCAGATTTGTAACTAGTGGCTAGGCCTACCCTAGTCACATATATATATATATATATATATATATAGTATCGATTTATATAACAGAGGAATGCCTATTACGATCCTTACTTTCCGAAAGAAACGGAGTTTATATAAAAAAGTATACTTTTACTACAGAAAACAAAGTCAGGAAGAAACACTTCTAGTAACTCTATTTCACCAACATAACAACATATTGCTGTTTAGTGTAGCTATGAGGGGGGGGGTAGAACAGTTGATTATTTTAATAGCAAATAAACATTTGCACTGAAGTAAGTCTTTTTTTTTCCTTTAACTGTGACTGGTTTAGATATTATAAAATCAATTAGACGACGGTCGATTTAGCTAGCGCTAATTAGCGTTAGCTATATACTCAGTCTGCGCCCTAACATAGTAGAAGTCCTGTAAGTATAACTTGAAAGGGCAATGCAAAATATTGGCACCTAGCACGCAGGTATCAGCTTTTAGCATTCAGGCCAGAAACACTATCACTCTTTCTCTTTTAGTATTTCCTCTTAAATCAAAGAAATATTTATAGTGCTTCTATTACTTACTTTGCTACGCATGGCATGGCAAAAAAGTGGAATTAATTAACGTCTGAAATCATGATCATGTTGTGGATCTTCACTGACGTTCTTTGAACATTATAAAATTTCTGCACAGAAATGAAGTTGCAACAGTAAAAATAATTTAAAATGCTAACTTGAAGCGAAAACTTGCGTATAAGGCTTATGGAGCATGAGATAATTTACAACTATATAAATATTTTTTTTTTAAACGTAAGTACTTAACCTTCTGATATTTGCAGTCCACATAGCGTGTATAAACTTGTTTTTCATTCTCCCAGGTAAGAAATATCCCTTAAATCGTACTTGTCGCGACAAGCTACAGCAATTTTATTGCGGATCAACACATTGAAACGTGATAAGGGATTAAAGACATTTCTTATACCTTACATTAGTCTTATGTGCGCGTGATTAGCTATACAAACACATCGTTACATTTACACGTATAATATTTCCGATTTTTTAATACATCGTAATGGTAAATTTGTTTAAGAAATATATTGCGAATTGAAGAAGCTTGGGAATTAGTTTTACCGATTATTTAAGAAGCTTTAATAAAATAGAATTTTTAATGCCAAATATTTGTAACTGTAGAGTGGTTGTACGATAGTTTGATAGGTGGTTCGGTAGTTTTGTGGGATGTTTGGTAGTTTGATGGGTTGTTTGGTAGTTTTGTGGGATGTTTGGTAGTTTGTTGGGCTGTACGGTAGTTTTTTGGGCTGTTTGGTAGTTTGATGGGTTGTTTGGTAGTTTTGTGGGATGTTTGGTAGTTTGTGGGATGTAAGGTAGCTATTGGGATGTAAGATAGTTCTGCGGATGTATGGTAGCTGTTTGGATGTACGTTAGTTGTTGGGCTGTAAAGTGGAGGAGGATGTGAAAAATTACTATTGTAAAATCTTATATAACTCATTTTGTTTGAATGAATGAGTTATGCTACTTTAGATGTGCGGAACAATCAGCTATCTAGATTTTTAGCGCAATTTCCATTCTGGAGAATTGCGTTTATTAACTCGTCTTTTCTGGGAATGGATGGATGGATGTGTGTTCGCAGCTTTAAGTCGTATCTCCTCCTCAACGAAGCAATATCGAGGACTAGTTAAAAAAGCAAATATGTTAAGCAAGTTCCGAGAATGATAGTTGGCCAAAAAAATTCCGGGTTTCTTTCATGGATTTCCCGGAAAAGCCAAAAAACCTCGAAAAAATGCAGTTTTTGGCCCATATCTCTGCATGTAGACCACTTAGCGACTTGAAACATTTACCAATCGATTTCTGCCATAATTTCGAACAATATTGCCAAAGAAAGTTTTCAAAAACATCCTTTCGTTCGGTCACAAATTTTAAAATTACATAAACACCTACAAACCGATCGTTCTCCTAGCTTGAACGCAACCCAGCATTATACGTCAGAGCTATTTTTAGATAACATAAGGAAATTGCGCTAAAATTGTCACTAGACATTTTAATTAACTTGTTTTCAATTGGGCTCTTCCATGTAAATGTGGGTACACTTATATAGACCATGCTAAGACGCACTAGAGTATACTGCCAAATAACTGTAAAGATAAAAATCCCCTCTCCAAATCTGAAGGCCTATGGGGAAATTGATTTAGAGTTCACTTGTTTATCTGACTTCAGAATATGAAACGATAGTGTGGTTAGCACTATGCCCAGCCGCCTTTACTTTTCCCTAACGTAAGTTGGGTGCTCTTCAGAGTTGGACGACCTCAGGGACGGTCTAATGGCTTGAACCCGTATTCAAACTGGAGACTTTCGCGCTAGCAGTCTAGCTAGGCCACTTCGTCCCATTAACATATCCTAGCATACGTCTAATGATCACCTCCACCTTTACTCTCAGCATTCCTTAACATAACACTCAACATCAAATGTTACAACTATGTACAAATAAAGAGAACCAATCGTTCTATAACATAACACAAAACACACACACACACACACAAGTATGTGACTCAGCTATACATTTTTACTTTCTCGTATATATGAAGTATAGAGAAAGTCTTGTAATCGTGCAAAAAAAAAAAAATCGAGATTTTTGCAAATCTCGACGTTTTACATCTCACTGATACGGAAAAACATAATTTTGCAATCTTGTCCGTATGTCTGTGTGTCTGTGTGTGTGTGTGTGTGTGTGTGTGTGTGTGTGTGTCCGTGTGTAAACACGATAACTTGAGTACCGTTACAGCTAGGTTGATGAAATTTCATATATAAGTATTTTATCAAAATCGTAGATCCGTATCAACTTTTGAGCGATTTCCGATAACCGGAAGTGGTACTATTTCTACTTTGAATTTTTCAAAAGCCTATAACTTGAGTACTATTTCAGGTAGATAAATGAAATTTCACCTGTAAGTAAAAGATCTAATTGTCTACCTTCTGTTAAATTTTGAGTAATTTCCGTTGACGGGAAGTACTAATTTACGCTATTTCCGATTTCTCAAAAACGCATCTAAATTTATAAAGTACTTATAATATTGCGCACCATTATGAACATCTTTATTCGGCGTTCGCTTGGTGCGCAATACTTTTTTCTATGAGATTATATTCTATTTTTAAAAATTTGAGTATTTAAAATGGATTAAAAATCATGTCTAGAAGTCTATATCCCGAGTTGCCATCCCCCGTAGTGTTATATTAGAATATTCGAGAAAGTTTAGGGGAGATCACTCCCGGTTTATTTCTACTTAAGTATTATATTTATTTGTTTAGTATCAAACATTAATATCTTCCTAAGTTGCCGAGATATACATGTTGCTAAAATATTATAACATTTCGATAGTTATGGTTATAAAGAATCTTTCTTGGCACATGTCAGAAGGATGAGAGGTAAACAAAAAACGACATTATATGAAGGGCATCAGTAAATGTACTGGGCATTCTGTTGCAGAACAGAAGCCCGAGAATGATAGCAAACATTGTAAACTAGGACAGGTATTGTGCCCAAATAAATTCCCACTCCATTCTGGATAATTAATGAATTAATTTAAAGTTATAGTCTATTTAATGTTTAAGCGCTCCAAAATTTTCAAGAAACAAGCGTCTTAAAATAAAAGGCAGTGAATCAGTTTAAAATGGCTGAAAAAGAAATATGTTGTAAATACCACTCGTCAGATTTAAGCGTATCTCAAAACTCAATAGTTTATGTTAAAAATCGAAGGCTCTTACGCCTTACTGCATCGCCTCTACACACAACCCTGTCATAAAATATTATCTAATGGTGTTTCGTCAAGCGATATAACTAATCTATATTAAAAAACAAACTATAAGACAGATGTTGCACACTATAATATCTTGTTCACTTGGACTGATAAAATGTTAAAATTGATTTACCATAAAATAAAAAAAATCCCATTACAAATAGAATCGTTCGCACAAATATAGAAAAAATAAAAACCATATTAATATATGTTAAAACATAATGTTTATAAATATAATATTTTTCATAAGAATATATTAAATACTTTCCTTAATGGAAATATTTTTATTGTAAGAAAATCCGATTTTCTTGTAATTTTTTATGATGTTTAGATAATACACTTCTTGAAAATATTTTTTTTTTTAAATTCGGAATTTGTGTAAAATCTTCTTTAAATAAAATAAATAGCGGATGCTGTAATTACATTAATTAAACCAATTTAAAGATATCAAAAATTTACTTAATTTATGTGTGAACTTCTATGCATACTCCACAATTTAGGACGGGAAGACTAAAATAAAACCTATAAGAAAAGGTTGTATACGTTTACACATTAGATATACTAAGCTAAATTTAGAACTTTAGAGACATTTTATAGATACATTAGATAAATTTTAAAAAAAAATAATGTAAGTTAGGCCTACATGACGCAAGTAAAGTAAAAACAGACTCAAGAAAATATTAGAAATGCATTCATTATTTTAACGCATCACCAATCAACCAGCTTAAGGCAAGATCAGCTTAAAACAATCTTTAGAACACGGACCCGTATGCTCAGAACATTTTTGTCGAATTATCAATGGATGGGCGTTTTTTATTTACTTGATAAGCTAGGGTAGCAGTACATTGGATGTAATTTATTTTAATCTTATTTTTACAGTGCTTATTCGTAATAGCATTTTAATCGGATTTGCGCGCAAGTTTAGAACATATAAATACCAAACAAGCGTGAGACTGATCCAGATTCATCCGACATTTGGCTTGGATCTGGTTTCATATTCACGGGTGACTATTTTTATTTATTTCTAAGGCTGTTCTGTTTCTCAATTGCTGACTGTAGCATAAAAAATTAAGTTGCCCCCTGTTTCATTAACGGTATTTATGCTTAAAAGTCGCTTCTTAAATTTTACAACAAACTAAAACAATGTATTGCGTTATTATCTATCAAACCTAATTATAAAGCCTGTTTATTCCACTAGGAGAAAAAAAAGATTAAAACAGTGACTGTAGTCATGAGTTACACTTTGCTGATTGTCGTTCTTGCCATCACGGCATTTGCGCACAGTGCAGGTTTGTTTTTCCAATTAAAAAAAAAAATAGCTTATGTTGTTAGTATAAAAATGTAAAGACTACATCTATATACAGCTGTAACAGTTGATGGTTTATTAACGTTTTATTTGACTATTTTTCTTACTTGATTTTTCAAAGTTTAAAATAAAACGTTATGTTATTATTATTTAAGTTACAAATCAAATCTATATTCAGTTTAAATAGTTTATAGTTAATTTGCATTTCCTTTTATTATTGCTGGAATTTTTTTTTCAAGATGCGGATAGATGTAAATGGGATAATTCTGAAATTTATAATCAGAAATGCTATACAGCCACGGACACACTTGTTTGGAGCGATAATTTGGGATATTGTGAGACCTATGGTTATCCACCAATCAGCATCCGAAATAAGGAAGATCTGGTCTATTTTAAGAATAAAGTTTTACCCACGGAGTCGGCCAGCGTCTGGGTTGGTGCCACAGATATCCTGAAGGAAGGTATCTTTATCTGGGAGGACACCAAGCAACCGGTATCTGCTGACTTTGAGCAACTCTTCGACAGATCCACAAACACCGCAGATAAGGATTGCTTGTTAGCTACGGCTGAGTTTGACAAGATTATTGCTGTGGAGTGTGATGAAACTTATGCGGTGGGGTATTGCGTGGGGCACCTGATTCATGAATGTAAGTAGAGAAATGTTTAGTGTAATCATAAAACAAACTCAATAGAATTAATGCCTACAATAATTATAAAACAGATTCACTATGATCAAAGCAAATGAAATATCCTTAAAGATGAGGTAGTAAAATGTATGCAGGGCAGACGCGTAGCGACCCTTCCCGGCGCACTGGGACAAACTTTCAATAAGCCCTCCCCTCCCCGGGAACAAACTTACAATTTGCCCCCCCCCCCCCTCCATATATTTTTATCATTTATAATGCAAAACTGCAGCTAAAATGATATTTTAATGTTTTTTTCCAACTCATTTTGGCCACCCTAGGGTCAGCGCCCGGGGACATATGTACCTCCCCCCGTCCCCGTCCGCTCCTCGCTACGCCTCTGATGAGAGTCGGAGTGGTCGGGCGGGTAAGCACAAGGTTGTTAACCCGAAAGTCCCGAGATCGAAACCTCGGGCAGATGATGCTCGTCAGCTTGGAACAGCAACCAATCTACGAGAGTAAACGCTGAAATAGAACAGGAGAGATGAAAGGATTACCAACTCTGGCATACGCTGCTATTTAGTTGTTTTATTTTCTACTTTTCTGTAATTCATAATTTATGAATTTTACACTACCAATGCGGCGACTGAAAATATTTGCATTAAAACACTCGTGAAGGACGAGTATCGTCACACTTTCCCCCACTCCCCGGAAAGAAGCCTCCTCTTAGTTATCTCCCCTTAGTTTCAAATCGTTTAAAAACTAAATTATCCATGACCTTCAAAAATTCGACCCGGCTCTATATTTGTAATATTCAACGTGAACCACAGTTCACCTCACTGAAGAGCCAGGGGGTGGGTGGGGATGCATGTGTATGTGGTGTTCCACATGGTTCCCCACGTAAATAATTATATATATATATATATATATATATATATATATATATATATATATATATATATATATATATATAAGAAACGGTACTTAAGCTTCCCTGTTCACAGACAGGTTGAAAATAAAATAAAGCGAAATGTATTTGTTTTTTTTAAATGTGTTTCGTCGTCAAGATGTATCCAAATCTTGATTTCGCTTTTTTTCCACGCTTATAATACATCCTCTATACTCCGTATAAGTAAAAGTGAATGATTTGTCGATACCAATACATAAACAAAAGTAAACACGTAGCTATGTATTTGATCAAGAAAGAGCATATTAATAACAAAAATAACTACCTATCTGCATATGGAGGGGGAGTTACACACCACAGTACGAGGCCACTTACAACGGTGTTGCTGAATGTATACTTTTGGTGTACAGCAGCAGAGGCGTAGCGACCCTTCCTGGCGCACGGGGAAAAACTTTCAATTTGGCGCCCCCCCCCCCCCTCGAGAAGGAACAAACCTTCAATTTTCAATTTGCACCCCCTCAAACTTTCCATTTGCACCCCCCCCCCTATATATTTTTATATGTATAACTGCAACTAAAATAAGAGTTTAATTTGTTTTTCCAACCCATTTTGGCGCCCCCTAAGGTCGGCGCCCGGGGACATATTTACCACCCTGCCCCCCCCCCCCCCTTCGTTACGCCTATGTACAGCAGAACAAAATAAACAACTCATTTTAAATTTACAGATAAAGGTTTCTTTTTAATACACGAGCAAGCCCCGATATTGCTTCACACGTTTATTACATTTCGGATGTTTGATCATAATCTGTTTCTTTATTAAAACTAATTATCGATATTGATTTTGTTTCCATTAATTACAGTATCTGTGATACATTATTCTATTTAAGATATTTCAATACATTTTAACTTCCAATAATGTTATGACAATAACAATTTAGACACACTGTAACGATTGTTTTTTTTTAATTTTATCTCTTTTACCAGACACGACACAATCTACTACACAAGATACTTCAATGTGTCCAAGTAGGGAATACTCAATCTACAACGAGAAATGCTTCATTATCGGTGTAAACAATGGCTCATGGGTACAAACGAAACAAGCGTGTGCGAACTATCGCCTCCCGACAATGGGTAGACCCTTTGAGGAGTTCATGACCCTCGTTGCCACAATTAAAAATATTGATGGCAAAGATTTTTGGGTTGGAGCGAACGACTCAGCGAGCGAAGGGAAATTCATCATGGAGGACACGCTGGAGCCGCTTCCCAGGCGCTACGAGAGTAATTTTCTGAGAAACACAAACACCGATGCTAAGGACTGTTTACTGTTTAATTATACACTGCAAGCCATCGTTGCCGCGAACTGTGAAACGGCTAAAGCTAGTGGGTATTGCCATGGAGACGTTATTCCTGCCGGTAAGTTTATAGTGATGTTGAATGGGTGGAGGGTTAGCAAACAGGGATATACAAGTTGGAAGAAAAAACAACATGAAAGTAGAAAGATGAAAGGTAAGCTCACAGGTATGTTAAAAAGTGGAAGGTGACTCTACAGGCATGTAGAAAGGTGGGATGTGATAACACATGTAGGTAGAAAGGTAGGATGTGATCTCACATGTATGTAGAAAGGTGGGATGTGTTACCACATGTATGTATAAAGGTGGGATGTGATACCACATGTATGCAGAAAGGTGGGATGTGATAACACAGGTATGTATAAAGGTGGGATGTGATAACACATGTATGTAGAAAGGTGGGATGTGATACCACATGTATGTAGAAAGGTGGAAGTTAAGCCCACAGGGATGGTGAAGGGTAGAAGGTTAGATTACAGGTTAAGGAACGTTAACCCATAGGTATATGAAATTTCAAAGGTAAATTCAAAGGCTTGTTTAAGTGTTGAAGGTTATCCGATAGATATGTAAATATTGGCATGAAAACAAGTGAGATGGTAAGACCAGGGTTATGTAGAAAATGTGGAAGTTGAACAAACAGATAAATAGACACGTTGGAAGACCACAGTACGCACCGAGGTTAGATGGTAAGACATCAGGTATGTAGAAAATATGGAAGGTAAGACATCATATATGTAGACAATTTCGAGGGTAAGGCCACACGCACGTAGACGTGTTGAAAGTTAACAGCACACATTTATTAGACACTGATTCTTTATCACAAATGAAATGTTGTTTTTAATTTACGTTATTTAATTATAAAATGATTTGAACGAATTCATTATTTATGAGCCGTTGTCGCAGTTAGTTGTGAAGCCAACAGTACTCATCTTAAAATAGCTTTCATAGCCAGAAATATAACTATTAATGCGATGCAGTCTCTTCTAATGGCAAACATTGTAAATTATTATTTTTTGGCAAGGCAATATTTGCAGTTTAATAAACAAAAATAAATTAAAATTCAATTAACATAAGAAACTTTTGTGAAAGAAAGGAGTCTATTGGAGGAGCACAAAATGTCGGTAAGTTTATATTGTATTTTGATAAAGCTAGTACTAGGATAAAAATATAAAATCATAACCCTAAAGATTCCATAAAGTAGGGTAGATATATTAGTGTACAAATGTTTATTTTAGTTGTTATCTTACTTAATATATAATTTCAGTTCTCTTCCCTCTCTCTCTCTCTCTCTCTCTCTCTATATATATATATATATATATATATATATATATATCTATATATATACATATATATATATATACATATATATATATATATATATATATATATATATATATATATATATATATATATATATATATATATATATATATATATGCATACCCGCAGACTATATCGAAATTACGATCTACTTTGTTTAAAAGAGTGAGTTTCTTGCAGCCCCTACACAACCAACCACCCCAGCACCGGCATGGAACTGGAACTATCAAATACAGATGGCAGCCAACATCACCAGTTACTTCGCCGTAGGTGCTGATGAAGTCAGGTTCGCTGCGATGATCTTTAACAGTGTGCCAACCAAAGTGTTTGACCTGAAGGATCACTTGGACCATGATTCTTTGGCAAAGGTTTGATCCGTTATATAACTAACGAGCCGACCCGTTTAATTGTTTTATTTTCTACTTTTCAGTAATTCATAATTTGTGAATTCGCCACTACCAATGCTGCCACTGAAAATATTTGCTTTAAAACACTATCGATAGTTCGTTAAGTTCGATACCCCCCCCTCCTTTCCCCCAACCCAAAACCCTACCCCGCCCACCCCCCACCTCCGTGAAAGCAGCCTCCTCTAAGTTACCTGCCCTAAGTTTAAAATCGTTTCAAACTAAATTATTTGCAATAATAGCCGTCACTACGATTGTAAACATTTGGAGTAAACCACAGCCCGCCAGAGAGGGGGGGAGCGATACGCCTAGAGAGGAAGAGGAGGCTGCTAGGCGTTTACGTCTTGGTGGTGGTGTCCAGTAAGGTCCCCATGAAGTGAAGTATATGTATTGATATGTAATGTTTTGTAAGAATCTATACAATTGTTTTGTTTTTATATATATTTTTTTTGCGATGTATGAGTTCATTTCGGTGAAACATTGAAAGATATGTTAGTTTTATACTTTGTATATGATATATCGTTAAAAAAATTAGCTGATGTCAAATTAGCAATATCAGAAAAATATTGCTAAAATCAGCTAAGCGTATACATGATTCATTCTAAATCGGCACTTTCACCCCAGGCTTTACTAGCATTACCACACCCGACTGGATACGGCAGTAAGACCTACATAGCCCTGCAGGACATAACCAAGAAAAACATGTTTGGTGCTGAGGCTGGTGGTAGAGACGACGCCCCGAATAATGTAATCGTCGTGACCGATGGCGGCTCTGACAACAGAGAGAAAAGTGTGTGTTTTTTTGTATATTTTAGTAGACCATTTACAGATTTTGAAAATAAAATCTTGGGTTAGGAGCATCCTGTTGCGTGGTCAAACGGAAGAGCGTTTGACTGCTATTTCAAAGGTTTCGAGTTCGGTCCTTTTTTATGACGTGTAACTTTAGAACGTCCCGGAGTCCACCCAGCCCTGATGAGAACCTGTCTTACAATGGAAAGATTAAAGTCAGTTGGGCATAGTACGAATAATCTATCCCCTTATATTCCGATGTAAAGAAACATTTGAACTGTACTTCTTAAGCGCAATGAGTCTGGAGCGAATTCTTTTTTTTTACCAAAAGTATAGAACAAAACATTTTGAACATTCTGGAACTTAAGGGAAAAGTTTCAAGTTCAAACCCCCAGGGAGATGAGCTGGGGACATTAACCCATCTAGGAGTGACAACTCCAGAATTAAACAACTGTTGTCAGGTAGTTTGTTCTTGATTGGACAAAGGTTATGGAAGCAAAGCTAAAAAGAAAAGCAGGCTGAAATTTAAGTCAAACGCCTATTTGGCGCATAATATTTGACATGTAATGCTTAATTGTATTTGGAAGAATCTCTTCTAATACGAAAATTAAGCACAAATAAGAGGACATACAATTATATTAAGATTTATGAAATTAAAAATATTTTTAAAAATTTAAATGTGTTTAGCTTTAGGTGAGGCGGTCAAGCTGAAACAGGCGAACACGACCATCATAGCTGTGGGGGTAGGGCCTAAACCATCACAAGAGTGATCGTAGAGACGCTGGTCCCTCAGACTTGTGACAGTAAGTTCACAATTAACTTACTAAATATTAATTTTAGCATAAGTCATTATACAATAAAACTAACCTGACTAACAGTAGATACATTTTTTTTTATTCACATTTAACTTACTAAATATTCTTTTTAAGCATAATTCATTATACAATAAAACTAACCTGACTAACAGTAGATACTTTTTTTATTCACATTTAACTTACTAAATATTCTTTTTAAGCATAATTCATTATACAATAAAACTAACCGATTTAGCACTAGGTATTTTTTGGAAAAGATTATAATAGTGTTTTGATCTAGCAGACCAAATATTTGTATAACTATCTGCATCATATACATGTATGTATATTTTTCTCAGGTTATCAAGCCGGCTAAAAAGGTTAACTAGCTTGAAGGCCTCTCTTTGATCTTGCAAGTTTGAATGATAAAACAACCAGATTAAAAAATAAAACAAAATAAAATGATTTTAAAAAGTAGTACTTGCTAATTTGTGTTATTATATTAAATTATTTGTTATATTATTGTATATATCATTCGCGAGTAATATCGTATAGCACAATGCCTTTTGTTCAAATTATGTAAGGCAAATTATGTAAATCTCCAAAGGATATTGTCTGTTATCGTTTAGTATAATATTATATTCGATTAGTTTTTAAATAGTAAACAAAGTATTACAAGTTAAATAAAATGCAAGACAATTTAAAAAAAAAATGGTTGTGATCCCACGTATTGATCGTGTAATCTAGCTTCACTTACATATCATAAATCAAACAGAACTCACTTTCTCGTATATGATGCAACCCACTCTATTTACCTACTTCTAAATATTGACTTCTTATACTTGTTTAGAAGGTCTATCGTTTTAAGAGTGGTGTGGCTTGAACGAGTAGTAGAACTCTCGAATGCTAGACCGAATTAAGGTCTGTAATCGAGACAGCAGACTTTCCAGAGTGTACCCAGCTCTAATGAGTACCTGACTCATGTTGGTGAAAGTAAAGGTAATAGCAATGGCTACACTAACTTTCATAAGCAAAAATAAAAACACTTTTAATTCATCTGCCCTATGTATGGTTAGGTCTAAAAAGTGCAACTATGCTTACAAAAAACATTGTGTGATTGTAATCGATCAATAGCGTGGTAAATTAGTGTTAGTGTAGTGAGGTAGTTGTGAAATTAGTCTGGTGATAGGGGTAGAGTTGGTGTGGGGTTGGCAGTGGTGTGTTTATTGTGGGGAGGTAGTGTTGGAGTTAGTGTGAGGTAATATAGGTGGATTTAGTTTGGTGAGGTTGTTTTGGAATTAGTGTGGGTAGTTTTTTCGCTCTTTATAATCAGCTCACCATAGAAACACCATACAACTTCTTATAAACTACAATTGTATTATCACGTTATAACAATCAATCGATACAAACTTACAACACATCAAGAAAATTCAACCATACAGAAAGGTTATATATTTAAATATATATATATATATATATATATATATATATATATATATATATATATATATATATATATACATTTATCAGGTACAACCCCCAAGTAAATAAGACAAAGTACTACACAATAGGATAATATGACTTATAAATGAAAATTAGTCACAAACGGGGTTATGTTCTTAAATATCCAGGCAGGGGGAGGGGCGGAGGTTGACCTTAATCTTTAGAGCTGTACACACTGGGTTAAGGATATATTTTCTATTCAAGTGGCTTTCTATTTCATCTGACGGTAGAAAAAGGCAGCACGTTATGTGTGCTTTGGGAGGCTCCCCACCCCTCCTCACTCTCCCTTCTATAAAGTTGGCAAAACTTTACCGAATAACTTCTGCAAATCTCTCTATACAACGGTTTTATGTCAAGAATATTAAGATACAAGTGTTGTGTCTTTTAATTTTTAATAAGACCGTTTTATGTGTATACATGTGAATAAGAATAATCTTAATCCTATATCCAGCTGGTGCATTAATTCCTACTTTAATACCTAATAAAACAGCTTAAGCTGTTAAATATATTTATAAAAATTGTTATTTTCAAGCCTGAAAGACTAACCCACTTGTAGCTGCAGATGTTTAATATACTTTATAAAATGGTTATTTTCATGCCTGAAATGATAACCTACTGGTAACTGCAGATATTTAATATACTTAGAAAACGATTTTGTTCATGCCTGAAGGGATAAGCTACTCGTGTATATAATATTTCTGCGATTTATATTAGATCATGTTAAATAGATCTTGATCTTTTTATAGAGATTTATACTATTTTTTACTGTCGAATCCCATGTTTCATGCTGTGCATTTTAATGATTTTACACACCGAAGGCTTAATGCTAAAATGATTTATTGGAAAGAGATAAAAAAAATATGAGAAAGTATTTTAAATTTAACTATATATATATATATATATATATATATATATATATATATATATATATATATATATATATATATATATATATATATATGAGTTGGAAATTTAGGATTAAATAACAAAATAGCAACTATTACCGATAGACAATTATAAATCGATACAATAACGCCGACTGTCGCTAAAACGATTAAAACGACATATCTATTATGAGCCTATAATATATGCAAAGGTACTTTATCCTCCTGCTGCTGATCATTGTGTATTGGATACATCAAGACGGATGTATCGGCACAAATGGTAAAGTTATCAAGTCACGCGAATCGTACATTTTTCGACTTGGTGAATTCAGCTTACTTACATTGATTTATATTACTAAATACGTGGTAATTATTCCTACAAAAATGCTAATAGCTTTACTATTCACTATTTTATGTACATGAACAGTATAAATGCCAGTGTACAATTGATTAATTGTACGTGAAATTTGAAAAGGCGTTCAAGTTATCGAATTTTTGAGAAACCAGAAACGGAGTAAGTTAAGTATAGCTTTCGATAACAGAAACATTCTATTGGATCGTATGGTCAGCATCACATTTTTACAGATTTCTTAAGGTCAAATAAAAAGGGAAAAATATAGCAATTTGACATATGTTACATATTATTCTGTCTTCTTTAACAGATTAAGCTTTAATATTTTAATAAACATTTTTGTATTTAGTATTTAATCTACTATTGTGTTTCTTATATATAGAATTGATTTATTCAACAGAGAAATGCCTATTACGATCATTACGTTGCCATCTAGATTTACTTTTGTTAACTAGGTCCAGAACATCAGTTTAAATTATCTTTTATGTCGTTTTCCTACTGTAAGATGAATGTAAATATATACATACATGTTATAAAAAATATGAGAAAAAAAAACTGAGCATATTTGAAAAATATTCGAATCCTGTATTAAAAACAAATGTATATGTGGGTTGTGTATGTGTATGTGTGCTCCACTCTAAATAGGGCAAACTTCTAGTGATGTATGCGGTTTTAAAGATCTATATATATAATTCTCTTCTGGGAGCCGTTAGAAAACAAGCTGCAAGCGCGCCTTTGCAGTCCCCTCTCTTCCTCTCTATCACTATCATTACCACCCCACCCCACCCCCACATGGTCTGGTGAGCTGTGGTTCACTCTAAATGTTTACAAATCGTAGAGGCGGGTTTAGTGACGGCTATTAGGGGCAGATAATTTAGTTTGAAACTATTTTAAACTTACAGGAGGTAACTAAGAGGAGGCTGCTATTCACGGGGGGAGGGGGGGGGGTGTAGGGTAGGGGTTGGGGGGGGGGGGGGTTAGTGTTTTAAAGCAAATATTTTCAGTGGCAGCATTGGCACTGTCGAATTCACAAATTATGAATTACTGAAAAGTAGAAAATAAAACAACTAAATAGCGGCGTATGATACGCAGCGGGTCGGCTCGTTATTAATAAAACAGATAGTGTTAGTTACCTCACAATTCAAAGACAGTTACAAATTGACGTTTTTAAATGCCACTTGTGAGGTAACTAACACTATCTGTTTTATTACTAATTGAATTAACCTCACTGCATCTACCATTTGTATTGAGGTTTTAAAGATACAAATGTGGGTTACAAGGTGAAACAGCATGGTAGAGAGACCCGAAATTCTACATTTCAGTCTCGTGTCAGTATGATATCCTTGAGTCGACCCAGCTCTGATGGGTACCCGGCCAAAGTTAAGTCGCATGGGAATAGTGCTAATCACACCATCTCTTGATATGACACTGTCATGGACAACATGAACTGCACTGTCATATAGCATGACATTTTCGGAAAAGAATTTTGACATTTACTTGAAGTATTATGTCAGATTAAAATAACGAAATGAAATTACACTGTTGTAATTTGCTAGTGACAACTACAGGTAGATTCGCAGTGTGTGAGTGGGGGGGGGGGGGTGAGGGATTAGTGGAGGGCTAGAAGACGAAGGTCTCAAACAGTAGTCGTTAAAATAACCTCAAGAGGGATAATTTAATAGTTTACAACCCTGAGCTTATTGCGTCATTGAATTAGCTATGGGGTAGGAGAGCTGTAATGTTTCGAATGCGAATCCTTTTGAGAGTAGTGCCGGGTGATCGAATGATAGAATTCTCTAATGCTAGACCGAAAGTCGAATGTTCGGATCTCGATCTAGACTCCAGACTGCAAGACTTTCCTGAGTTCACCCAGCTCTGTTGGGTACCCTGACTTATGTTGGGGAAAGTAAAGGGCATAATGCTGACTCTAACACCTCCTCGCATGCCTACATTAAACACAAACTTAACATCATCTGCCGTATATATAATTTGGTCTAAAAATGGAACTATGCTTTTTAGTTTTAGTTCTCTTAATCGACCAATAGATTAGTAAATAGCAATGATAATGCTATTATTAGCAGAACAAGAGCCGATATAAAGGATAATATGAAGCTTGCGGTACCGTCATAATTTCTGCATTATTTATATAAAGCTAAGGCCAAATATCATCACAGAGCTCAATTAACAAAGCATGTTTTATGGTCAGTTGAAATGCATGTCACTCATAAACTAAATATAGAATACGTATGCAAAGTTAGGTTTAATATGTGGATTTAGTGTGGGGAGGTAGTGGTATAGTTAGTGTAGGGAGGTAGTTTTGGGGCTAGTGTGGGGATGTAGTGGTAGAGGTAGTTTGGGGAGGTAATGGTGAATGTAATGAGTGGAGGTAGTTGTGGGGTTAGTGTGGGGAGGTAGTGTTGTAGTTAGTGTGGGGATTTTGAGGTGAATTTATGGGACTATGTGCGTCGTCTATCATGTTGATGTTAGTGAGAAATGAACATCAACTGGAGTAATATTCTACCAGAAGTCGATTTGACTCAACTCTGTTTCGGTACTAGCCAATAGCGTCTGTAAGAATTACCTTTACAAATTTAAAAATATTTTTAAAAATTCATATACGTTTTAATAACAAGCATTTATGTAATAATGCACTAAAAAGGAGAAAAAAAAATTATACACTACTATACACTACTATTTAAATAACTATTACGAAAAGCGTGGGTCACTTTAGTATCTATTGGATACCTTTACTAATATTTAGGAAGAGACCCACGCTGTGGAATAATTTGATGAGACAGCCTACTAATTTGGACACATTTTAATTAATTCATAAAAAAATAATCATGCTACCAATTAAGTCAAATGTAATGTCATATTGCATTGTCTTCATGTCTTGACCAACGCGCCAACGTAGAAACAAATCTGTCTGTTTGAAGTGCCTGTAATTTCGCTCGGGAGTTTCGATCTAGACTGATGATAGACTGACGAATGACGACAGAGGAAGCAAGTTAAATAAAAACTTGTAAAAAATTAAGGGAACAAGTTTTGAAATATGTTTCTTTAACAGAACTTACAAAAATTTATCACATTCTTGTTGTCTTTTAAAATCGAAAATGGCAAAAGATACAACTTCCAGTAACCAGAAAACATTGAACAAGGTGGTTGACGGGCTAGGGGCGTACACACACTAAGTATATTTTGTATTTAAAAATATATTTCTCTCCACCTCTTCTGAGTTTTTGTGTGTATGGGGTGGGAGAGGAAGGTTTGGGCTTGAAGTTATCCCATCCCCCTCTCCCCGCACCCTGAAAGAAACGCTATTTACAATACAGTTGGCGATATTTTATCAAACAACATAACACCATCCGCAAATCTCGAAAAACAACGATTTCTTTTTTTCACAAATATCAGGATCAATGAGTTGTGTTTTCGATTTGTAATTAGACAGTTTTATGTGTATTAATGTGAATTAGAATCCGGCTTGTCCATTAATTCCGACTTTAATCCTTATTAAAACTGTCTAACGTACAGAGCAAATGGTTGTTTTCATGCCTGAAAGGAAAAGCTACACGTTAATATACAAATAAATCAAGATTAGTTTTGGAGATATTTATAATCTTTTTAGTGTCGAATCTCTTGCTCCGTGCTGTAATTGTCATTACACACCGAAGAGTTAATGCTCAAATTTTTTTTTTGAAAACAGATGAAAAACATATTGTTGCAACTTGTTACATGCTAAGGTGTTTTGATAAAACTCTCAAGAAAATGTTGCCAGTGTTTAGTTTTTATGATTAAATAAGAAAAACGGCAATCAAGATAATGTCTCAAGGTACACACACTATTTAGGCCTACTTGTACGTAAAATTTGAAAAGGTGCTCAAGTTATCGAGTATTGAGAAACCAGAAACGGAGTATGTACCGCTTTCGATGGCAGAAACATGGTATGGTCAGCATCCGAGTTGATTACACTGTTTTCAACTAAACAGCTACAAAAGTAAAATTGGCTTGCGCTATTCACATCGACTATACCGTGTCTACACGCCTAAATGATTCGATCGTATGTTTTAAAGAAACATTGCATATTTTTTTTCGGATTTCTAAACGCCATATAAAAAACGAGAACTAATCAAAATGATATATTTTATATAATATTATGTCTACTTTAATGGATAAAGCGTTAATATTTTAAGTAACATTAAGAGAAATATAGAGTACAATTACATATTTGATACGTAATAACGTAAATGTTGTATGCAAACAAATACATATTATTTGATCGCGTTTATACTTCATGTGCATTTATTACTCATGATAAAAAACGGAACAATATTTTACCTCAGGGCATCCCAATCTGTTTTTCATAAAACGTAATATGAATGGTGTTTTAAACTATTATAACTATAAGCAATGTATATAAAATTTATATTCCAAAAAATGCAAGGAACCTGTTTTTTTGTTGTTGTAATTTTACAGTTTGCGACAATAAACATCGAATTAAAAATACATTGACTTATGTAAATTAAACTTAAAAAAAAACGCAAATCGATAATGCAGCGTATATAATATAGATGAGCGTAAAACAGATGCCTGTACGCTTGTCAACATTTTCAACCAGTGTTGGACTATATAGCAATACATTATTTCTATATTTGTAAGCAGCCACAGGTACAGATCGTATGAACTTATTTCTTGTATCTTGCTTCTTTTCATGAGAAACGCCTCACTTTTTTAAAAAAAATCACATTACTTTAATGGTTACCAGGTAATGTCCAGTTAAGAAACATATGCTTTCCATTCTTTATTTGAGATTGTGTTTCATCAGATTACAGTTTATTAATTAGACACCGCTATGTTTGAATACAGCGGCTATTCTTGATCTAATGTATCTAAGTGATCAACTTTTTATACGTTTAAAAAAAATGTGTTATGCCATTTGAAACTTTAATTTCTATATATTATTTTTCTTTCTTATCTTAATGATTTATTTTTAAAATCGCTCTTATAGCTCTTTTTTAAAATATATTAATTGATAGTTGCTTACCATCACTGTTTGACAATATACTTCTGCATCTATTGTTTGTTTGAAATAAATACAATTACATCAATGAAAAGCTTTCACACTGTTGAACTTGTATAAAAAGACAAAGTTCCTCTTCGCATTTAATTTAGTTACATTATTAATTTGCTCTGAAGATTTATGGGCGCTGTGAGACTTCTCATAATAGCTGTGATGCTATTCAATTTGTGTAACGCACAAGGTGAGTACAGTGTATAATTAACAAAAGCCACGGCAACAGACACATATAGACATAGACATAGACATAGACATAGACATAGACGTAGACGTAGACGTAGACGTAGACGTAGACGTAGACGTAGACGTAGACGTAGACGTGGACGTAGACGTGGACGTGGACGTGGACGTGGACGTGGACGTGGACGTGGACGTGGACGTGGAGGCGGACGTGGACGTGGACGTGGACGTGGACGTGGACGTGGACGTGGACGTGGACGAGGACGTGGACGTGGACGTGGACGTGGACGTGGACGTGGACGTGGACGTGGACGTAGACGTGGACGTAGACGTAGACGTAGACGTAGACGTAGACGTAGACGTAGACGTAGACGTAGACGTAGACGTAGACGTAGACGTAGACGTAGACGTAGACGTAGACGTAGACGTAGATGTAGACGTAGACGTAGATGTAGATGTAGATGTAGATGTAGATGTAGATGTAGATGTAGATGTAGATGTAGATGTAGATGTAGACGTAGACGTAGACGTAGACGTAGACGTAGACGTAGACGTAGACGTGGACGTAGACGTAGACGTAGACGTAGACGTAGATGTAGATGTAGATGTAGATGTAGATGTAGATGTAGATGTAGATGTAGATGTAGATGTAGATGTAGATGTAGATGTAGATGTAGATGTAGATGTAGATGTAGATGTAGATGTAGATGTAGATGTAGATGTAGATGTAGATGTAGATGTAGATGTAGATGTAGACGTAGACGTAGACGTAGATGTAGATGTAGATGTAGATGTAGATGTAGATGTAGATGTAGATGTAGATGTAGATGTAGATGTAGACGTAGATGTAGACGTAGACGTAGACGTAGACGTAGACGTAGACGTAGACGTAGACGTGGACGTAGACGTGGATGTAGACGTAGACGTAGACGTAGACGTAGACGTAGACGTAGACGTAGACGTAGACGTAGATGTAGATGTAGATGTAGATGTAGATGTAGATGTAGATGTAGATGTAGATGTAGATGTAGATGTAGACGTAGACGTAGACGTAGACGTAGACGTAGACGTAGACGTAGACGTAGACGTAGACGTAGACGTAGACGTAGACGTAGACGTAGACGTAGACGTAGACGTAGACGTAGACGTAGACGTAGACGTAGACGTAGACGTAGACGTAGACGTAGACGTAGACGTAGACGTAGACGTAGACGTAGACGTAGACGTAGACGTAGACGTAGACGTAGACGTAGACGTAGACGTAGACGTAGACGTAGACGTAGACGTAGACGTAGACGTAGACGTAGACGTAGACGTAGACGTAGACGTAGACGTAGACGTAGACGTAGACGTAGACGTAGACGTAGACGTAGACGTAGACGTAGACGTAGACGTAGACGTAGACGTAGACGTAGACGTAGACGTAGACGTAGACGTAGACGTAGACGTAGACGTAGACGTAGACGTAGACGTAGACGTAGACGTAGACGTAGACGTAGATGTAGACGTAGACGTAGATGTAGACGTAGACGTAGATGTAGACGTAGACGTAGATGTAGACGTAGATGTAGATGTAGATGTAGATGTAGATGTAGATGTAGATGTAGATGTAGATGTAGATGTAGATGTAGATGTAGATGTAGATGTAGATGTAGATGTAGATGTAGATGTAGATGTAGATGTAGATGTAGATGTAGATGTAGATGAAGATGAAGATAAAGATAAAGATGAAGATGAAGATGAAGATGAAGATGAAGATGAAGATACAGATATATACATAGATACATATGTATATACATCAACACAGATATATTGATATATATGTAGTTGTACCTATAAATGTATAAACATATATATCAGAAGAATGCAAAGCCTTCAACCGGTTGTTAGGAGCATACCAGAATGTTTCTGGTATTACAACACTGAAAGTAAGTATATTTTTTTATGTTGTTATTTCTTATTTTTAAGTATTATATGCAATTAACCTAAGTCGAATGTATTTAAATATAAAATGTTAGTAGTTTTAACAAAAGGATTACATCCCGTCATGTTTTAATATATAATGAAAAATATGGTTACAATTGTTGAGCTTAAACAAGGTTATTTTTGCATATTCTAATAAGTATACTATGTTTATTCAAGAATTTCACCTGAACACCACCCTGTCTATAAATGTTTACCTTCAGGATTGCTTCACATCCTGTGTGACTAATGCATCATGTATCGCATATTACTACAACATTCTACCAGACTGCAGGAATTACATTTTAAACACTACAATCAGCAATCCCGCACAATCAGGTGTTGTCTCCTATAATATTTGCCCGAATGATCCTTGTAAGTAGCTATAATATATTGTTTCATATTTCATTTGAATTCGTATTTCCTTATCATTGAATGAAACATTTGAATGCTCAAATTAAGTGCGTATTGTATAGTTTTGTGTACGCAAATTAAAATTTAAGTATATCTTCAATTTTTATAATGCCATTAAATATTAATCTATATACTACTAAAAGTCAAGTTTGTTTACATGTTTGAATATTTATTTGTTTGTTTGCCTGATCGAAAATTGTGATATGTTCGACTCTATCTGGAAAGCTGTAAAATGGTATGCAGGTAGAGAATAATTTTTTAATGCAGACAGACTGTTGATCACAAATTTATTTAAAGACGTTAATTAATTTATTGATTTATTCCTACGCAGAATAACCCATTTTTTTTTAAAATGTTAAAACCTTGACTAAACTTTGTGGGAATAGTGACGTCACAGGTTTTTGTTTACTCTTTAGTACAATAAAATGGCGGCGTCTATTGAAGAAAATTGTGTTCCCATTCAAAAGTTTAACGCGTTCTAAATATAATTTTCTGTCGGTCATAACTTTAACAATACGTCCGTTTGCTGTATTTATTACGTTCCAACACTTATATCAATTTTCAACTGTCTTTTTCATTTAGTTTTACGATAAATTTCTCTAGATCTAAAGATCAGCTATCGAAGGAAATTTATGAATCTAGCCTAGATCTAGATCTAGCCTAGATGTAGGTCACTAGATTCAATGTAAATTCTACATCTAGAATCTATTTCAGGCCTTAATTATTTTATATAAATCTTTGTTTGGCTTATTTAAGATAAAATTTAATTTGAAAGTTAGTACTACTAGACTTATTTTTAGATCTAGATCTAGAATCTATACGCGTAAATCAAGTTGCATAAGGAGACACATAGTATAGTATAAAAATTCACTTGTGACGTCACGAGTAAATAGCTAAAATGGTAGCGTAGTCAGCTCTCATGCAGGAGGCACGGGTTCTAGACCAATATGTCAATGAAATTTTTTTTTTCAATTTTTTTTTTTTAGATGTGAATGATAACGTTGCCTATCTGAACTTGGCAAGATACAGGGCAGGTGAAGTAGAGTTCATCTGTTTCTTTGTCCTAAGCATATGAAAGGATAGTGTGGTCAGATACATGCTCGGCTGGAATTGTTTTTTAAACGATAAAAACATGTTGTCTGAGACTTGGCAGGACACTGGGCAGGTGAAGTAGAGTTGAGTAGGTCACCTGTGACGTCAGTTTATGAAGGGATAGTCCGAAATCGGTGTTTTCGGTGTTTTTAAAAGATAAAAAACATATATTTGAATGTGGGGTCTGTTTTTTGTGACGATAAGTGACACTGCAGTAGCGTACCGAGGAGGGGGGGGGGGGGGACGGTAAGGGAGGGGGGGTGGGGAGGTGGAGGGGGGAAGGGGGGGGGGACATATGTTGGGGCGCCAAAATGGTTTGGAAAAATAAATTGATAGGTTGAGGGGGGTTCAAATCGAAAGTTTGAGTGGGGGGGGGTGCACATCAAAAGTTTGAGGGGGGGGGGGTTCAAATCGAAAACTTTGTCCCCGGGCGCCGGGAAGGGTCGCTATGCCTCTGAGTGACAGACGTGATGTTTTTTGATGGATGACCCCCGAAACCCACAGTTATCCAACGGATGACGGGTATTCTAGTATAATATAATATTCAAACGTTACCAATAATAACATGTAAGACAATATAATTATATTTTTTAAAATGAGTATGTATAATATTTTTTATCACAGCATAGTTTAATTCGTTATTTCTTTATGTAGCACAGTGTCTTAGTTCTACAAAGTTGACCGCAAACATTGTTACAGTTAGCGCCAACAAGGTATGTTTAAATGTAACAAACACACCTACAAGAACACAAATGTATATACATATATATATATATATATATATATATATATATATATATATATATATATATATATATATATATATATATATATACCAGTGGCGTAGCGAGGTCGGGTGTCACCCGGTGCGGCACTTAATGGTGTCACCCCCCCCCCCAGAGGCGTAGCGACCCTTCTCGGGGACAAACTTTCAAAATTTCGATTTGCACCACCCCCCTCAAAATTTCGATTTGCACCCCCCCTCACGTTTTTCTCTATATATTTTGCTATTTTTTGTCTTGGTGTCACCCCTCTAAATGGTGTCACCCGGTGCGGTCCGCACCCCCCCCCCCTCGCTACGCCCCTGATATATACATATATATATACTAAATGAAACTGCATGCAGACCACTTTTAAGTATAGACAAATAAAGTAGGCTGTAATGTTAGCGTCTGTGTTATCAAGTATTGATGACGTCATTATTAATGTTTATTTTTTATCGGGATTGGCTTATTAATTCTACGCTTACTCTAGAATCAATGATTTTTTTTATTCTGTGTATGCTTACTACTTTAGAGCTGTTCATATTTTCGTTTTGAAAATTAAAGTCACCGACTTTCACACTGCATCTGTTAAATGTCCTTGTTTTTTCACTATTGAGTTTGCGACCGACAGTATAGCGAAACTAATATAGTGTTATATGTTTGTGTATATATATGTCTTTGTATATATATGTTAAACCGAAAAGTCTCGAGTTTGAACCCTCGGGCAGATGAGGCTCGTTAGCTGGGGACAGCCACTCATCTAGGAGAGACAACTCCAAAATCAAACAACTGCTGCCTTGTAGTTTGTTCTTGGTTGGACAAAGGCTATGGAAGCAATTCCAAAAAGAAAAGCAGGTTGAAATCGGAGTCCATGGCCTCAATGGCGCATAACCAGTTGACACGTATCCTTAATTGTGATAGAGGCGTTGTCGAGTCGGCAAAAAGCTCCATGATTAATAAATTCGAAAAAGTCTCGAGTTCAAACCCTCTGGCAGATAAGGCTCGATCCCTTCCAACACTAAAACTTAAGAAGGAAGAAGAATTATAATTATATATATATATATATATATATATATATATATATATATATATATATATATATATATATATATAAAACAATAAAAAAGCAAATAAATCGTAGTCCCCTACTTTTACAATTTCCGTTTAATTTTCACAATGTGTTTTAAAATTTCAGACATGTTACCAGACGTGCTTAGAGAACCCGATTTGTGTCGGATCTTACAGTGTCAACGGGAAATGTAGAAATGATTATCTCAACGGAACTTTGATTAATGTTTTAAACGACTCGAAAGTGGAGGCTTTTGTTCGATGCAGAATGAGTATATTTAAATAAAAACAAATCATAAGCTACATAGGTTAGGATTAGAAAAATTAAATTTAAAACTATACACAGCTGTCGCATCATGCCGGTATATGAAATATTTGTACATGTGTTTTTTACTTTACACGCAACAATGTAGGTCGGTAAATTTGTATAAGAATAACATACACAGTTATATCGAATTAAAAATAATGAAGGCAAATATATTAGAATATAAATATTATTATGCGTGATTTTTTAATTGTAAATATTGTCTAATTTTAAACACATGTCAAATGTATGTATTGTATAATAAATATTGAAAAATGAACTTTAGTATTAAATATTCAAATAAATGTTTCAGTGAACGCTCCAACTACCACCACAACAATAACAACAGTGGAAACAACTACGACAACGTCTACTACTTCGCCCACCACAACAACCACAACAGAAGAGACGACTACAACAGAGCCGACTACTTTTTTCACCACGACAGATGAGAAAACTAGTACAGAACCCACTATTTCGCTAAACACCCGATAATATACAACTACTACCAGAGGCGTACATATGGGGGGGGGGGGGGGGGCGTGGGTGCGGACCGCACCGGGTGACACCAATTAGGGGGGGGGGGGGTGACACAAAGGCAAAAAATAGCAAAATATATAGAGAAAAACTAGAGGAAGGGACGTAGACGAGGTCGGGTGTCACCCGGTGTGGCACTTAATGGTGTCATCCCCCAGAGGCGTAGCGACTCTTCCCGGGGACACACTTTCAATTTTCAATTTGCACCCCACCCCCCTCGAACTTTCGATTTGCACCCCACCCCCTCAAACTTTCGATTTGCACTCCCCATCAAATTTTTCTCTATATATGTTTACTATTTTTTGCCTTGGTGTCACCCCCATACATGGTGTCACCCGGTGCGGTCCGCACCCACCGCCACCCCTCCCGTCGCTACGCCTCTGCACATATCGTATACACAATTAATACAAAATTAACGCATTTGTATTTCAGCTACTGCAGCCCCAACTTCCCTAACCAATACCCCTGAGCCATGCACTGAGAAGGCTGACATTATCGTTCTACTGGACGCTTCCACCAGCATCGGGGCAGAAAGTTGGAGTTACGTAACACAGACAGCCGCAAACATCACCCAGTATTTTGACGTTGGTCCTGATAAAGTCCGGTTCGCTGCGATGACCTTTAATCGAAAACCTACCGCCCAGTTTAACCTAAAAGATCATTTGGATCATGATTCTTTGACACGGGTATGACGGCATTTCAAATATAATTAAAAGCAATAATATGTATAATTGTATAATTTAAGTGTTATTCGGTCTTCAGCGCTGTCTAGAAATGCATTACAATGTATACTGTGTTGCTTTCTATTTTCATTTCACAGTTTTACAATTATGATAAGACTTGAAATAGAATGTGTTGGTAGAGGTTGCCGGTCGGCCTGATCGAGTTGGTAAAGCTTATGGTATACACCAGGGGTCTCCAAACTACGGCCCGCGGGCCGGATGCGGCCCGCGAAGTCCTCTCATCCGGCCCGCGGAGATCTTTTTGTCTAAGGAAAAATCGTTTGTTGGTGATGGCTGAGGAACTTTGCCCAGAGAAATCAAAGACATGCCGGGAAGAAACTGGCCCCCGAACTGAAATTTGATAGTTAATGCGGCCCTCGGTCTGAAAAGTTTGGAGACCCCTGGTATACACTAACTCCCGAGTTCAAAACACCGTGCAGATGGTTCAATAGCTGATACAAGTAAAACATCTAGGGGAGACAAATCCAAATTCAATCGGTTGTCTTGTTGTGTGGTCTTCTTTCCCTTGCTCCCACCAATGCAATGGAAGCCAATCAAGTTAGAAAGAGGACGGACATCGGAGAAACGGCATTTATTGCGATTTGCGGATTTACACCTATACTCAATTGTTTGGAAAGAAACACCGTCCATCATTACAAATAAGAAACGAAGTAGAGGAAAATGTAAAGGGTTTGGCGTGGTGATAACGAAATGTTTAAATATAAAAACAAACGTGTGAGTTCAGTCCCTATTCAATCCTGACTAACCATGTGGAAAGTGAAGTAGAGTTCACCAATGTTTTGTGAGTTTGGTATATAGTAAGGTCTGCACTACTCCAAGTCGCCTTTACTTTTCGTAACTTTTCATCAGAGGTGGGTGGACTGCTGGACTTTCTACTGACTTGAACCTGGATTCGAACTCGAAACATTCCGCAGTCTATCGCTCTACCGACGGGCCACACGACAACAACTATGTCGTAAAACCGAAACAATTTTTTTTCTTTCTCTAGGCTTTACTTGCAATAGCATACCCAGGTGTATACGGAACCAAGACCTACTTAGCCTTGCAGGACATCACCAACAAAAACATGTTTGGTGCCGAGGCTGGTGGGAGAGACGACGCCCCTGATAATCTAATTCTATTTACTGACGGACAATCTGACCAAACACAGCGAAGTTAGTAAAACGGACATTTTTTATTTTATTTTATTTTTATATGTTAAAAGCTAATATGCCATTAATTTATTTAATTAAATTGGAATTAACAACTATAAAATAAAAACAACAAAGGATAAAATGTATGAATACTCTAGCATTGACTGACAACGAAGCCTACTTAAATTATGAGTTGATGAAAAATAAATATTAATAAAATAAAAAAAAAACATTTTAGCATTGGAGGCAGCAGCCAAGGTAAAAGAGGCAGGAGTTAGTATTATAACTGTGGGGGTAGGCTCTAACCCATCACAAGAAGAGTTGAAAGAGATGGCCAGCACTCCGGAAAAAGCGTTAAATGCTGTCAACAGCGACTTCCGAGCGAAAATAATGAACTCCATTGTAAAGAAGGGTTGTCAGAGTAAGTTCGTATTTTATTTTCTTAGCAAGTTGTATAATTTACCTAAGGCTTTGTCCACTTTTTAATGAAATGATTCAATATATTGACTTTATCATAAACCAACAGAATTTTTTATTTACATTAAAATTTGTAAATTATGTAATGGTAATTTTTTTTTATTATTCTCTAGCTGTGGAGATCAGTAATTAGAATCGTCTTAAGGATGCACCCTCGCAGAATGAAACAATAATAAAAGTGAAGTAATATTACTTTTAAAGACAAACCATATAATGTCTTTATCACTCCATTTTTTTTTTAAATTTTTAATTGAACTTTTTACACATCGGATAGGAAACCGATGCAAAATCTGATATTACGTTTGATTAAAAATTAAAATGAAAATTGTTTTCACATGCGCTAATATTGTTTGTGAGTTTTAAATAAATAAAAGACCTGAGGTAAACGTTGTATGTGTTTTCTTGTTCGATTAATAAACAAATGTTACAAGTCATGAATGTTATGAAACAAAAATGTTTATTTAAACTTACAGGTGAATGTTGGAAATATGCCTTTCTAATTTCTCGTATACAAAGCATAACTTACTTACTTACTTAATCCTCATCACACTCAGTGGCAGGGGCGTAGCGAGGATGGGGGGGCGGGGGGTGCGGACCGCACCGGGTGACACCATTTAGGGGGGTGACACCAAGGCAAAAAATAGCAAAATATATAGAGAAAAACTTTAGGGGGGGGTGCAAATCGAAAGCTTGATGGGGGGGGGGGGGGGTGCAAATCGAAAACTTCAAAGTTTGTCCCGGGGAAGGTTCGCTACGCCTCTGGGGGGGTGACACCCATTAAGTGCCGCACCGGGTGACACTCGACCTCGCTCAGTGGAGTATAAGGCAGCAACAAATCTCCGCCATTCCACTCTGTCCTGGGCGAGCCATTTTAGTTCATGCCAGGTCTTGCCAGTAGCGTGTACTTCTTCTTCCATTTCTCTACTCCAAGTTTCCAGTGGTCTTCCTCTCTTTAGCTTTCCAGGCGGATTCCAATTTAGCGCCATGTTGGGGAGTCTTCTTTTGCTCTTGCGTAGGACATGGCCCAGCCATCTCCATCTCCTGATTCGAACTTCTGAAACAATGTTGTTTAATCCTGTCCTTGTTCAGAAATTCGTCGTCCCACTTTATTCTGAGGATACATTGGGGGGATCTTCTTTCAAAGCTTCTGAGTCGGCTCTCTCCTTTCTTGTTTAGTTTCCAAAACTCTGTAGCATAGAGTAGTACAGAACGTTCATTTGACTTGTAGATTCTTATTTTAGTTGTCTGCTGCAGTCAGGATGATTTCCAGATCTTAGCGAATCTGTTGAAAGCTTGTGCTGCCATTGCTATTCTGGTGGCTATTTCTTTCTCCATGCTGCCATTTGCTGATATATAGCTGCCGAGGTACTTAAAGTCTTCGACCTCTTCTAGCTCTGCTCCATTCACAAAGGTCTTGAGTGCACTTTTGGCTTTTATTTTCATTAGCTTGGTTTTACCAGAGTTTATCTTTAGCCCAACGCTTTTAGCAATTTGCTCTATTTTTGTGGTTTGTGCTTGGATGTCTTTTTGGGCATATGAGAGTAAAGCCAAGTCATCAGCAAAGTCACAGTCCTCTAGGTGGTTGGTAAGTTCCCAAACAATTCCTCTTGGCTTATCCTCAGTGGCTCTTCTCATAATCCAGTCTATTACCACCAAAAAGATTACAGGTGAGATGACACAGCCCTGTCTGACTCCTGTTTTTACCTTGAACCATTCACTTTGCTGATTTTCATGTCGCACACAGCGTTGGTTGTCATAGTACATGTCCTTAAGTATTTATGACTTTTCCTGTGAAGCCATATAGCTCTAATATCTTCCATAATGATGGGTGGGGGATGCTATCGAACGCTTTCTTGAAATCAGTGTAGTTAATGTAGAGAGACGAATTCCACTCCAGGGACTGTTCCACTATAGTGCGCAAGACAAATATTTGGTCATATAGAAAGCATAAAGAAAGTGTTAATTATTCTACTTCCTGTTTCTTAAAAGAAAATAACTTGTATAGCCTACCTTTTAAGCTAGTTACACGACAATTCACAAATACTTAATATCGTAATGCGAATGTAACTATTGACTTTGAAGTATTTCCGGTAACCGGTATTGGAACTTAAATCTATTTCACAAGTACTGTTTCAGTTAGGAAAACAAAATTTCATACATAAATACAAGTTGTTATACTTTGATAACGTTCAATTTTTGAATGATGTCCGTTATCTAGAATTGGTATTTTACTCTATTCCTGGTTTATAAAATGCTGATAAACATTTCAGTTTGGTGAACTTTTCAGTTTCAAATTTTATTCAAACTTTTTACGTAGCTCAATGCTCAATGAAGATGCATTGTGACATAAAAAGCCGGTTCAAAATAGTTTCAAATTATTGTTGCCAGAAAGCATACGTTTCAAAGAGAGTTTGATGGCGGTTTTTTTTAAATATTTGAATTGATAAAATAATTCGTATCGGCTTTTCAACGGCCTATATTCCATTAAAAATTTAAAGATGAATGTAATCGAGGGTTCCCAAACGGCTTTAATTTTTTTTTCTAATGCAGCTATCATTTTATCGTTTGCCATAATTTTTTCAAGATTTAAAAGAACATTAATATGATAACAAAAAGTTTTTAAACTTATTATATATTTGATAAATTTATTGTTTTAAAAATCAGTCAACAATTCTTATATAAAGTAGGCTACTTATTTTTCGCTTTAGTACATACATACTTTTGGGTTCATTTTAGCGCATTTTTTAATCTACGCGATTCTATTCTATTAAAACGTTCACGTACTGTATACATGAATACAAGCTTTAAACGTTAAAAACGCCTGCTGCTACTCAATAATATCGTATGGCTAATTAAAGCAAACAATAAATTAAACAAAACGGTAAAAATTATATCAATGTTTAGGCCACTTAGTAACGCATGAAGTATAATATTATGACGAAAAGTTTTTTTTTCTTTCGTCTAGACTCTAGATCCATAGTTATAATGATATAGGCCCATTTAAATATTAGCTAAAGACCTATCAATGCATAAGTGAAAATAGCATACTAGATTGTACTAGACTACCGGTTATCTAGTTAGATAACTGTGGGTTTCGGGGGTCATCCATAAATGACATCACGTCTGTCAACTATCATCACAAAATAACCAGACCCCACATTCAAAAAGACGTTTTTTTATCTTTTAAAAACACCGATTTCGGTTGAGAATGGGTCTGACCACACTATCCCTTCATATAATGACGTCATAGTTGACCTACTCAACTCTACTTCACCTGCCCAGTGTCCCGCCAAGTCTCAGACAACATGTTTTTATCGTTTAAAAAAACGACTCCGGCCG